TCGGCACTGGCGGCAGCCATTTTTTTATCAAGAGAGTGTCCGCCGGCCACCGCGGCAGCAGTGGCTGTGTTGCCCGCCAATAGCATTGAGTTGCATACCCCTGGTAGCAGGGGAATGCAACTCTATGCTATTGGCGGGCAACATAACCGACGTGACGTCATGAAGCATCACTGCTGCCACGGTGCCCGGAGGAAGATCTTATGAAATAAAAAATGCCTGTCGCCAGTGCCGAGGGCTCGGTAAGAAAGTATGCTATTACACCACCAGCACTTTTTACTGCTCCCTCCCGAAAAATCACTGGTTCATGCATATAGCTAGAATTAATAATCGATGTAAATGAAATGCTCATATTTTACAGGCACTGGTGGGAAACTTTCTCCAGATAAATAATGTTGCAACCTGATATCTTGTACTGCAGAGGTTCTTACTTCGTTGTGTGTTTTCTGTTTTCGAACTGAGTTTAATATCACTTCGCTCAAAACCATGTGGAGGGAATGAGTTAAAAGATATTAAACTCAGTTCAAAAACAGAAAACACACAATGGAGTAAGAACCTCTGCAGTACAAGTTATCAGGTTGCAACATTATTTATTGGAGAAAGTTTCTCACCAGTGCCTGTAAAATAAGAACAATTCATTTACATCAATTCAACACTCCCTTACTGAAATTCAATGGATATTTGAACTGTAACATATACAGAATACTTGTGTTTAGGAAATCTGATGGTGGGTAAACTTGAAAGAAAATTCTGTTTCCATCAGAGATACTTGTATTCAACTTCATAACTTTCTTACAGCTTACACCTGAAAGCTGCACAGAACATAGCTTTTCAGTTACATTAACATGTTATATATCATGTATAGGAAGTAATAATACAGCTACTGCTCTCTGCATTCCAAGCCATTCACCTGCTCTGAAGATGGAGGCGATACGTTTCTCCGAAACGTCGGCCAAAACAAAGAATACACGGCGCCTAAACCCAGAAGACGACTTTCTTCACAGCTATTCCATGTTTGTCACAGTTCACAATGTTCAGTGCCTTTGCTTAGAGAGGTGTTTCAGGCGAAAGAAAGGTTATGATTTTCCAGGCACTGGTCATAAACTTTCTCCAGATAAATAATTTGCAGCCTAATCGCTTGTACTCCGAGCTGCAGAGGCTCTTACTCTTTTTTTTCTGGAAAGGGGATGGGGGACCAAGTTTAATAGAAATTCACTCAAATCCAACCCAAAGGATATGGGTGAAGTGATATTGAACTTCCTTATTGAGCTGAGCCCTTCCTGAGAACCTGTCAATTGTGCAGCCACTCAAGAATTTTCCAGCCTTTTGTAGAACCGGAAGGTTCATTACTGTGTTCAAAAGAGTCCTCCACCACTCCCTATCCTGAGCCAGATCAGTCCAATCCATACCATACCACCCTATTTCACTAGGGTACATTTTAATATTGTCCACCCACCTATGCCTTGGTCTTCCCAGTAGTCTCTTTCCTTATGAATTTCCCACCAATATCCTATATCCATTCCTCGCCTCCCCCATTCGTGCTACATCCCCTGCCAACCTCATCCTCCTGGACTAGTGATATTCTGTGTTCAATATCACTAGTCGAGGATGAGGTTGGCAGAGCATGTAACACGAATGGGGGAGGCGAGGAATGCATATGGGATATTGGTGGGAAAGCCAGAAGGAAAGAGAGACTGCACTACAAGAGATCTGGTTGTAAAGAAATTGACTGTTAGTAGCGAGAAAAGCATTGAACGGGAAGAGGAGGGGGGGGGGCACTCAAAATAGTTGGTAAAGTAGCATACCTTTGTACCGATTGTGGTATCGGCCCAGGAGGCGATTTTAAATTTAGTTCCTGTATGATGAACATAGATGGCAGCAGCATTGCACCGAGGTGTCATGGCGGCCATTTTGCCAACCAATAAGGTGGGCGACCTTAATCGTCCAGGCATTGGAAAAACATCTTCAAAAGGTTAGTTTTAAGGTTTTGCTTGATATTGTCGCATCTTGAGGTTGATTGAGACAGATTGTTGCTGAAATTGAGGCTGTTCATAGTAAAGTAAAACAAAAAAATTAAAGCTATCCCAGTAACAGGCGGTGAAGGCCCTAAGGGTTGTGAGACGTTGAGGGTCCCACATTATCTAGACAATCGGCTCAGAGATGGTGGTAAGGTTGTCAGCCTTACGCTCCGGCCGTGCTTTACTCCTCAGGAAAGTTATTTAATTAATTCCTGGTACTGATTTCTGTTAGAGGCCAAGTCAACCCCAGGGTTGGCACTAACTTTTCCGAGAAGTGGCGGTCGTTTGAAAGCCACGGAGGTTTTATTTAGTAGTCTTAATATAGTTAATCATATGCCAACAGATATTCCATGTAGTACAATTGCAAGGTATAGTATTTGCTAGAAGATATGTCATTTGCAAGTAGGTACTGGCCAGGATGTGAATTTAAACACATTGTGAGAAATGGATCATGTTTTTAAATATCCTTGCACATATATAATATCATTCTGACAGTCCTTTCTGAGCTAGCTTCTCCATTGTGTACGTTTGGACACCAAAAGGAGAAGACCATTTACAGTCACATTGGACATTCCATTTCCCTTCATTATCCAGATGTCAGTAGTTCCATTGAAATGTACATTTGGAAAAGTTTGGTCCTAATATGAGTAATATAATAGTGTAATTATATTGCTGCACTTCTCAAGACTGGAAGGAAAGTGGAGCCTAAGCAAGCAGCAACCCCTCAAATGTGTTTCTCCTGTTCATGTAGGTGCAAACAGAGATCAAGCTGCCCGTGTTACACCTCATCAATTCTATTTTGAAGAATGTTGGAGACGTATATACTTCGCTCTACACTCAGAACATTGTTTCAACCTTCTGCGGTGTTTTTGAAAAGGTATTACAGATTTTGATTTTTTTGGGGGGGGTGGGAGGACTCTAGTTTGGGGTTTATCCATTCCCAGGGCCATAGGGCAGCTGGAAGGATTAGGTAAATTGAAAAAATCCAACGACCTCATCGGGATTCAATCCTGTGACCTTCCGGCTTGTAGCATAGTTCCTCAACCAACTATGCTACTGCATGCCCCCAGAAACAGCTGATATATGTGAGAGTAAATGTGTATAGAAATGCTGAGTCTGATTTACTTTTGTCTGTCTGATGTGTGATTTTGATGAATAATCTGCCCATCCATGAACTTTGTTTTGTGACCGTAATGTTATCCAGCTCCAGGTTTTGAGACCTTGATAGCTTACAGTTTCANTTTGTGAGCATGGTCATGTCAGTTGGTGACAAGGGAAAAATTTTGTTGTAAGGAAAATTAATTTAAGTTAAAGTTGTATCTAATTGTTAAATGAGGTTGTTGGTCATGTAAAACATGAGGTATGCATCATTTTAATAATTCTTGTTGCCAAGTATTGTAGATGTGATCAAGAAAATATCATATATTATGGGACTGATTCATGTATTGTGCTTCCTTCTTGTAGGTGGATAAGGAAACACGGTCCCAGATGTTCACATTACGTAAAACTTGGAAGAAAGTGTTCCCGCCAGAGAAGCTGCATGCAGTAGATGTACGTGTAAATGCAATTGACCCAGCATGGCCAATCACAGCTGTGCCTCCTACAATAAATGTGAATCCTAAGTGTTTTCATGTGAGTATAAATACTGGTTTTACTGTTGCAGTTTAAAACTTGAAATTCATTTAGAGTTGTTAATAAATATTGCATCAATCCTGCATTGTGTGATGGTGAAGCGAATATATTGCTGTGTGTATTAAGTTTGGAGGAATTACAGGGAGATTCCAATACTGAAGTATTGTTTGGGGTCCTCGGTTATTCACAATAGCAATTTCTTCTTCTTTACACTAAGCCATTAGGGTATATCTACTTCTCCCCACAGGCAGTTAGGTTAGCCTGGTTATCCTAAACATTCTCATTGAGTCCTCTTTACAGTGTAATATAAAAAAGCAGAAAGTAGTACTGTTTTCTGGGAAATGATGCCATATAGTCTGGTAGAATGTTAACAGTCTGAAGGCAGCAGGTTCTTGGTCTTTGGAATGAGCTGGGGGAAATTTGGAATCCTTTAGTTTA